CACATGCTAACAGGGGAAACCAACTCTAAAAAGTTAATCATAAAATACCCACTTATTATATTTTTAAAAGGTTGTTTCAAAACACCAAATGTGGGGTGGGGCAGGGAAGGCTTCTCCGAGGAGCTAACATTTAAACGGAAACGGAAAGAACAGGAATTGGCTATGGAGGTAGCTGGGGAGAGCATGCTAGGCAGAGGGAAGAACTCTGAAGAGGGAAGAGAAGCATGGCACCATGGCTAAGACACAGGGGCAGGTGGCACAGGATGAGGTTGGAAGGCTTAGGCATGAGGCTTTAGGCCTCATCAAGGATTTTGTTCTTTATCCTCAGAGAAATGAAAATTCACTGAAGGGTTTTAGTCTTTTTCCCCCAATTAAAAAATACTTAAAACTGTATCAATATAACATTTTAAGTGTACAGTTCAGTAGTGTTTAAGTACATTCACATTACTGTGCAACCCACCAACAACAACCATGTTCAGTACTCTTTTCATCTTGCAACACTGAAACTCTACCCATTAAACAGTAGCTCCCTGTTCTGTCCTCTCCCAGCCCCTGGCAATGATTATACTACTTCCTGTGTCTATGAATCTGACTACTCTAGGTACCTGATATAAGTGGAATCATACAATATTGTTTGCTTATGATTGGCTTATTCCCTTAACCTAATGTCCTCAAGGTTCATGCTGAAACCCTCCTTCCTTTTTAAAAATGAATAATATTCCATTGTATGTATATACCACATTTTGTTTACCCATTCACCTGTCCTAGGTACTCATAGGTACTTATGTTGCTTCCACCTTTTGACTACTGTGAATAATGCTTCTCTGAACATGGGTGTACAAATATATCTGTAAGATCCTGCTTTCAACTCTACCAAGTGTATGCCCAGAAGTGGAACTACTGGATCATACAGTAGTTTAATCTTTTGAGGAACCACTTTCTATAGTGACTGCATCATTTTACATTTTCACCAATAGTGTACAAGGGTTCCAATTTCTCCCCATTATCACTAATACTTATTTCCTGATTTAAAAAAAAATAGTAGCCATCCTAATGCGTGGAGGATTTCACTGAAGGATTTCAAGCAAGGGTTTTTAACCATGATTTAATCTATGTTTTAAAAAGTCTGGTCTGACTGCTGTGTGGTAAATCGACGGGAAGGGGGTAAGCAGGAATGGAAGTCGGGCTCTCCTCACATAGTGGTTGTATGGAAGAGGGGAGCATACAAAGAGGGGTAGCCAGAATGATGGAGGGAGGTGGTGTGGAAGTCTGAGCGGAGTACTGAAGATTTAAAATGGTTATTGCTGATTAGATACAACCAAATGCAACAGGGTTTCTAGGCAGTTCTGATGACTGCCGATTTATAGTGATGCCAGGCTTCCTCCAAAACCCCAAGAGGTAATGAAAATGGGGAAAAAGTCCCTAAATGGAATAAAGTGGAAGTAAATGGGATAAACTATATAGTAAACAGATAATTTCATTATACTGGAAAGACAAGCATTAACTTAAGTACCTTTTGAACACAATACTCTTCACTTTATACATCCTCAGTGGGATACCCACAAAGGACAAAAGACCTGGGAAGAGATCATATTTGAAACTTTACTTAGTAGATTTGTTCTTGGTGGGTTCTGATGTAGCAGTTCAGAAACTATTTGTGTATATTTTAGGATCAAACAAATACAAACAAGTAAATATATTGGTGGTGCCGGGCCCCAGAGTTCTCACCACAGAAGGAGATAGATACAAGGATGGAATAAGAGAATAAGAATCCCATGGACTTAGATAAAAAGTAGAGGTATCAGCTTGAAATTCAAGACAAACAAACTTTAAGGAAAAAGCTGCCTACCTCTATTCTCTGAGAAGACCTGGAAGCAATGACATCCTTAGTCTTAATGAACATACTCAGGGTGAAGATTTTGGTTTTCAAATAATATTCCCTATGAACAGAAATCATGGTTCCTCAGAAAAATGGCTAATTTCAAGGCAGGGGCAAGGAAAGTGCAAGATGAGACTAGAACATCTTATCGTGCCAGAAAGTATGAAAACACTCAAAGAAGGAATGAGGACATGTCAAAAGGACAAAGGAAGCAGCTTGAAGAGGTTCCTGCTGTCATCTCTGGAACAACTTGAGCATTCAAAGAATGACAGAAATGGACTATAACTCTGAAAAAAAAAAAAAGAACCCGTAAGTCTGCACTGATATTTTAAAAGTTAAAAATAAAGGGGACAAGAAGAATAGAAAACTTTTTTTAAAAAATGCTAACTAATAAATGTAGAAAGAATAATAAAAAATAACTATTTTATAATTATCACAATAATAATAGATTCAGGCAAGAATCTTTGATAGATGCTAAAACCACTGGGTGAAAGACCAGTGGGAAGCAGATTATTTAGTCTGCTAGCATAATCCCACAGATCACTTATTAAACACAAGCAAAAACAAATGCCTTTATTGCAAAGAAAACTGGAAAATAGTATCCTAACCAAGCGATCAACTGAACAAAATCAACTGAGACAGACGTCATGACATGCCTGATGTGAAACACTGAGAACACAGCCTCACCCATGTACAGTAGGTCCTCGGTTACATCGGAGATCCATTCCTATAGCGCGACATAACGCGATTTTCGCCACGTCGGAACCTACCTACGTAAGCACCTACGTCACTCACACGGAGCACATACACACCAGTAATGAAGTGAAACAGTAAAAAAATTTAAAAGATAACAATTCCTGACCTTTACTTGTGGTAAATAAATAATAAAAAACATAAAGCACCTATGTACATATGTCAAAATGACGAACTTTTTTTTTTTTTATAAATAAATGGGAGATGGCGACATAACCACGAAATGACGTACGTTGAGTCCGACATAACCCGAGGACTGTCCGTAGTGTCCTTGTGGAAAATGTTCAACCTACATCACACGATGAGGAAGCAATCTGATCAATCCAATCCTGAGGAAGAAATCTGAACATTCTACACAACAACTGACCTCAAGTCTTCAAAAATACCAGTGCCACACACACACAAAAAGTCTAAGAAACTGCCTAGGTTAAAGGTAATTAAAAAGACATGAAAATAAATGCAATGTGTGATCTTGTTTGGACAAGGAAAAAACCCTCAAACCCAAAACCAAAAGACTAGCTAGCTAAAAGGGACACTGCTGTGCTGACTGCAGAAATCGGAACGTGAGCTGTGTAGTAAATGATACTAATGTATCAACGTTACAGCTCTTAAGTGTGATGACGTGTATTAAGGTTATAGGAGCATGCCCTTTTAAGGAGATAAATGCTAAAATATTTAGGAGTTAAGGTCCATAAAGTCTGGAAATAATTCTCAGATGGTTCAAGAACAAAAAAGCATCTAAAAATTAAGCAAATAGGGCAAAATGTTAAAAACATTTGGTGAATCTAGCTCAGCCGTGGGCAAACTACGGCCCGCGGCTTGCGGGCCGGCCCGTTTGAAATGAATAAAACTAAAAAAAAAAAAAAGACCGTACCCTTTTATGTAATGATGTTTACTTTGAATTTATATTAGTTCACACAAACACTCCATCCATGCTTTTGTTCCGGCCCTCCGGTCCAGTTTAAGAACCCATTGTGGCCCTCGAGTCAAAAAGTTTGCCCACCCCTGATCTAGCTGATGGGTATATGAGTGTTCACTGTAATATTTCTGCAACCATCTTTTCTGTAGGGTTGTAAATTTAAAAATAAGAAATTAAGAGAATGAGAAGACAAGACTAGGAAAAAATATTTGCAAAACACATACTATATGATAAAGGACTGTTATCCAAAATATATAAAGAATTAAAACCCAACAATAAGAAAAAAATTAAAAAATGGGCTGAAGACCAGAAGAGCCTCACCAAAGTATATATACAGATGGTAAATAAGCATATGAAAAGATGCTTAACATCCTATGTTATTAGGTAACTGCACATTAAAACAAATAATGAGATACCATTACACATCTATTAAAATGGCCAAAATCTGAACTGCTAACACCAACAAATGCTGACAAGGATGTGAGACAATAGGAATTCTCATTCATTGCTGCTGGGAATGCAAAATGGTACAGTCACTTTGGAAGAGAGATGGCAGTTTCTTATAAACCAAAACATACTCCAACACCACCAAGGGTGAACTCTAAAGTAAATTATGGAACTTGGGTGATAATGTGCATCAGTACAGGTTCATCCATTTTAAAAAATGCACCATCTAGTGAGGAATGCAGATAGTGACAGAGGCTGTGCATGTGTGTGTGTGCGTGTTGCGGGGGTATGGGGGGAGGAGGAGACAGGAAGTACATGGGAAGTATGAACTGCTCTAAAAATAGTCTATTAAATAAATAAGTTGGGCCCTGGATGGTGTGCTCAGTAGTTAGAGTGTCTTCCCATGCACTGAATGGTCATAGGTTCTATTCCCGACCTGGTTAGGCAAATACCCAGGTTGTGGGTTCGATCCCTGGTTGGGGCACATACATGAGGCAAACAATTGGTGCTTCTCTCTCACATCAATGTTCCTCTCTCTCTCTCTCTCTCTCTCTCTCTCTCTCTCTCCCTAGAATCAATGAAAAAGCATATCCTTCAGTGAGGATTAAAAAAAAAATGTTGGGGGTGGAATGGAGACCTGATTAGGGACACTTTTTCTCAGGAGCCTACTCTAAATGACCGCCTTGGCCCAGCCCCATCTCTACTCCGGAGCCACTATAGCACTTGTGGATTCTTGATTGCATAATTTTATTTCACGTAACATTTCCCACGAGTCTTCTTTTCAAATAAATTAAAAATAGGAAAAGAGAACTGAGAAGAGACTGTGCCCAGGAGTGAAAGATCCTTCTGTTAACCTTCCTTAATTCTCTGGATATCTCCACGCCATTCCTTATATCTGGTCACTGGCGCTCGCTCGCGCGCTCGCTCTCTCTCTCTCTCTCTCTCTCTCTCTCTTTCCCTCCCCTCCTCCACCCCCCAGGGAAAGCTCTCACTTAGAAGTACCTGTGGAAGTCAAGCAGGTTTTCTGAATCAATATAATCATCCAAGTTGAGGGTCAAATCTGACACTTGCTGTGAGCCATATTCCTAGAAAAAAAAGAGAGAGATGGACTATTTCTGGGCTAAAGAAACATGTATGTGCACAAAGAGACATAGATAAGGACTGTTTGTAATACAGGAAATACCCTTCTAATGATTGGGGACTTCTCTGATTTAGGAATATCATTTTTTTGAGGCAGAGCCCAGAAAACCTACTTCCTAGGCTCTTTTGCAGCCTGGGCACAGGCATGTAACTGAGGAGCCAAAAAGATGCACAACTTTGACATGGAGGTGGGCAACATGGGGAAGCAGGCTGAGCAAGAGACAGACATCTTACTAAGGAGGGGTTCCAGCATCAGCGGCTCAGGAGAAGAAGCACCAGGCCAGGCAGGACTGGCCAGTCCCTAACATCCTTGTGGTGGCCACAGCAGTGGTTTCAATGGCATGGTTTGGGGCACTATCCTGGAGCCCAGATTTGAACCTGTTTTCTATCCCTTCCAATAATTCAAGGAAACTATCCCAATTCTTCCACAAACGCAATCTGTAAACTAACCTGAAGGGATTTTGTTGTTTGGAACTAAGAACCTTGTCTGATACAAGATCTAAGTGTTCATCAAAAGGATAAATAAATTATGGTATTATGGAATACGGCATAGTAAATTAATGAATAAGTATAGCTACTAGGATATGCATTCCTATGTAAAGACCTCCAAAATATACTTTTCCATGAACACACACAATCAGAACAAAAAGAAAATCACTGCCTTCATGGTGCTCACTGTCCAGTGATAGAATACAAACATTAACCCAAAGCATGAATAAGTACATAAGTACACATTGTGGTACCAGGCAGGAAAATGAAAGGATCAAGTAGAGAAGTACACTTTAGATTTTTCTGGCAGGTGAGAGTAGGTAGTCAGGACTGAGCTTTCTGAGGAAGTGAACTATGAGAGGGCGTAGGCCTGGCTAAAGAAAGGGTGAAGAGTGTGTATGCATGTGAGGCCCTCACAGGGGAAAGAGCTTCCCAGCATAGGAAACAAGAGATGTAAAGGCTTCAAGGCAGCAAGAAGAGAAGCTTAGCTAAAGAACTAAAATATCCCCCAGGGGCTATGGTTTTCCCTCCCAGATTGTCACTGAATAGACTTATCTTAATTTACTTAACCATTCCCCTGTGATGGAAAGCCCTCCTCACCCCCACCCACCCCCCAATACCAGTGGTGAAAATCTTTGAGCACAAAGCTTTCTATCTTTAGGGTTCTTGCTTCAGAATAAAGATACAGAAGTAGGATCAATGGGTAAAGGCTTCACAAATATTTAGGGCTCTTCATCCATACAGTTAAATGGGTTTCACATCTACTCTCATCACCAGATCCCTCCTTGTCTCAGACACTCACCAGCACATTGATGATCATGCTCTTCTCCACAGTGACAGCCTTCATAAGGAGCTTTCTGGACCCCTCCTTCGACTCATACCGGAGGACGTACAGGTCTTTATTGTTGTTCCATCCGACAGGCAGCAGTTCTGATTTCTTATCACTGGGAACTGGCTGAGAAGACACCAGGGTTGAGAGGAGGAAGGTTACAACCTCAGAACACAGCTATGAAGGATTTATAATCTAATCACATTGCTTGCTTCACAGATGAGGGCATAGGGGTCAGGAGCTCTGGGACCCAGGTCTCTGGACTCGCGCTCCTGCTCCTCTCTCGTCTCTGACTGCCTTTGTCACACTCCACTGGAACCTGTCAAGAATCTGCCTTGCTTCAATAATCTCCTCACCATCCCTCTGCCAAGAATAAGGCCAATCATTTCAAGGAAATCTGTGAAATTCTAAGATAGTGTTTTTAAAAGTCTGGAATGTGGGCCATCTACAATAGGATCACTAAAGTGTTGACTAAAATACAGATTCGAACGTACCCCCCTCCAGATTACTGTAGTGGCTTAACAAAAATTATGAACAATTTCATACACATATGAAATATAGCATATGTACAAGATAAAAAAGAACTATAAAATGGACACCTATGTATCTGCCACCAGCTTGAGATAGAATATCACCAATACTGCTAATGCCTTGAGTAGTGTACCCCCAATGAAGCTCTCCCCCTCCCCCTCATGGGTTATTACTACTCTGTATTTCTAAAAACTTCTTACTTTTCCTTATAGTTGTATTACTATGCACACAACCCTAAAAATAAAATTTTCAAATGTTTTTGAATTTTATATAGATTGTATCAATTTATCACTTGCCTTTTTCATTCAATGGTTTTTTGAGATTCATCCATGTCAATGCATTTCACTATAGTTGATTCACTATATAGCATTCCATTGCTCTACAGTTCACAGCTATATAGCATACCATTGTATGAATATCTTACAAGTTACACTTTCACTTGTTGGTAGGTATTTGGAGTGTGTACAGTTTATCCGTTTAGCTATTATAAAGACTGCTATAAACATTCCTGTACACATCTCCTACTACACATGTGGATAAATTTCCATACAGTATGTCTGGGGGAAGGACTTTTAATTTATAAGATAAAGTGTAATTGCATCCCAAAGAGGTACTGATTTATAATCCCATCAGCATAAGAGTTCCTGTTGCTCCGTGTGGTCAGCAATATCGCTATTGTCCAATTTAAATATTTTTGCCAACCTGGTGGGTGAAAAATGCATCACTGAGAGTTGTGATGTCTTCCTTCCTTTTTTTTTTTTTTAGCAACCCTAGGACTTTCCTTTTATACACTAGAGTTTAAAAAGAGTTCCTGTTGCTCCGTGTGGTCAGCAATATCGCTACTGTCCAATTTAAATATTTTTGCCAACCTGGTGGATGAACAATGCATCACTGAGAGTTGTGATTGTCTTCCTTCCTTTTTTTTTTTTTTTTTAGTAACCCTAGGACTTTCCTTTTATACACTAGAGTATGAAAAACAGTTCTCAAACTATTTCTATAGTAAGAACTAATATAGTGACTTCCAGGTGGGGAAAGATTTCTTAAACAAAACTGACAAAAGAAAAAAAAAGTGCTGCCTTTGAGACTATTCATAATTTAAAGCTTCTCTTCAACAACAGACACTACAAATAGGCAGCCACAGGTTAGGATGAGGTTATTTGCCATGTCTACAAATGAAAAGAATTAATAATCAGCACATAAAGGGAATGCTTGGAAATGAACAAAAGTTGTGAACCCACTTGAAAAACTGGCAAAAGATAAGAGCAGCTAACAGTGTATAAATGATTGTTTAATAGCACTTAGAGAAGCACAGGTTGAAATAATGAGATACCAGGTTACACCCCAGATTGGTTATTATCCATATTTCTACTTTTTGTCAGGTGTTTGTGAGGGTGTGGGGAGAATAGGACCCCCCAGACACTGCTTTCTGGTAGCCACTCTTACAACCACTTTGGAGGGCAATCTGGCAGTATTCAGTGCAATGAGGTGAGCTGACATGCCATGACCTCCACTCCTGGAAGAAACCCTATGCACAGAGGCACAGAGGACATGACAAAGAATTTTCATCACCAAAGTGGAGGGGAAATAAGACATCTCCTCACAGAGGAGCATGATATAGCAGTGAGAAGGAATAAACTAGATCTAATTGTAACATTACAGGTAAAAGTAAAAATCTATACTAATAATCTATACTAATAAAAGGGTAATATGCAAATTGTTGGGAGGCCCTCACGCAACAACTGAACAGCAGGCTGTGTAGGGCGACCAGGCCGGTGGGGTGCAGTGAGGGGCAACCAACCGACCGAACAGCAGGCTGCGTGGGGTGACCAGGCCGGCAAGGGGGGGGGGCAGTTAGGGGCAATCAGGACAGCAGGCAGAGGCGGTTAGGGTTGATCAGGCAAGCAAGGGGGGCAGTTTGTGGCGATCAGGCAGGCAGGCAGAGGTCGTTAGGGGCAAAAAGGCAGGCAGGCAGGCAGGTGAGCGATTGGAGCCAGTGGTCCCGGATTGTGAGAGGGATGTCCGACTGCCAGTTTA